CCCAGGGAGGGGTGAGGTGAACGGGGGGGCGCTGTTATTTGCTTAAGACCGAAGATAATGAGTCTGAACTAAAGGAATATTTTCATCCACGAGGGAGCATTGCCACCGTAGCTTCCTGGAAGGAGCCGCTGCTCGGTCAGGCCTGTAAGAGTCTCCTTAGCTCCCAGACACCGGGGACGAAGGGAAACGCTTGACGAGTTCTCAGCTTCTCTTGCAGCCCTCACGGCTGCCTCACCCAGCCCTCCTCCCTACACTAGATTTTGAAAAGATGATTTATCTTAATTCTACTTTCAGCACCTCGGATGGGTTCTGCTCCCTTACGTCCATGTCGGTGCTTAGAATGGTTTCTGTCTAAAGACAGAATCCCGGGTGTGAGGTTCAAGCGTTATCTCATGACTTCTGTTTGCCCCGTGGCCCTTGGGTGGCTTTAGTGGGCACCCGCCTGCACCCGAACCTCGGCCCCTTCTGACGGGTGTGCGGTCGGCATTTTCACACCGTGGGAGTGTGGTTTGGTCAGACAGACCCTGTGCCAAAGTCTGGAAACTTGGAGTCTGATATCCCAGACTGATCCCCCACTTTAAGCTTTTCGAAGACTCTTTGAGCGCATCGACTTACCTGAGCTTCCTCAGGAAGAACCACGAGGGGCAGAACACGTTCCCGTCTCTTAGGGGGCAGGACCTCAGACCCACAATGGGAGGCGGCACATCAAAGAAGAGTCAGGCCCAGAGCCGGGGGTGCGGCTCCGAGAAATTCCCTGTTCACCACCTCAGAGCCCTTAGGTGGGCCTGGGGGGCGGGGAGTCTGGACCCCCCTTGGTAAGTTGGGCAAGGAGGCTTGGCCAGCGCAGGGATGGGGCAGGACTCGGGCAGCAGCCAAGCCCCGGATGACTCATCCAGGGGGATCTGGAGTCACTTTGGGGCAGTGTCTTCATTGCTGGCTTTTTCAATCTGTTAAAAGTCATCGCTGCAAAGAGTCTTGCCTGCGGAGCCAGGCCTGTGACTTCCTGCTTGACCGGCTGTCACGAGTCCGAAGATGACAAGCTCGGACAAGGAGACGAGAGCAGCAGGCACCCCCACCCCCACCCCGGGGGAGCAGAGCCGGTTGTTAGAGAAGATAATTGCGTGAGAAACCAAAATGTCTAATACGCTCCTTTCCACGATGAGGCTGAAGCCAACTGGCCACGTTTTATCAAAACAGCGAGCCGCAGGTCATGTTACCCAACGGCGAAACAAGCCAGCAGTTCCTCCCTGATACCAGCTATTTAAATGTTTCATTTAGGCAACTGAGTTTTGTTGATGCCGAAATATTATGAGAAACAAAAAAAAAATGTAATGCAAACTCTCCGTTTCGTAAGCTCGTATATTTTCTCCCCCCGGGTTTCTCCGGCTTGGATGCGCCCATCATTCAAGACCTGCTTTTATGGTTTGTCAACAAGACCACTCCATAAAGTACATTCTGATATCTCACAGCTGTGTATAATTTACTCTGTCTACCCGTGCTGCACAAATAACATTTTTATTTGCATCATCTAAAAGGAATACCAGTGTGTAAATACATAAGCAAAGCTCATAAGAAGCAGCCTTCTGACTGCAGATACTGCCGGGGGACCCCGGTGCAGCCAGCGGAGCAGCTGAGCCACGGCTGCGTTACCCTCGCGCACAGATAACGAGCCCCAGGCTCAGCAAAGCGCACAATCTCTCCGTGTCTTGAAAAGGTTGCACAACCTTCCACAAGCGCTGGCACGGCCTATTCCCCTTGGAATATTTGGAAACAGGGCCTCTTGGAAGGAACAAGTCCAGCCCAAAAGGACTTGTTTTGGATTTAAAATGCTGGAATATGTAGGTGAAAAGGGATGGAGCCTTTTACCTCCGTGACAATAAATAACTGGGTCTTTCTCTGTTACTAAGCGTCCTGGAGGGAAAAGGTCCTGAGGACTGAGCACGTTTGGCTTTAGTCTGATGATCAACTGGGGGGCCCCTCGAAGGCCTCCCCAGCTTCCACAAAGTCAAGGGCGAGGAGTCGCTGCCTCCCTCAGCTCCCCTGCGGGCACGGGCATCTCAGTGGCTGACCGGGGATCGGGGTTTTGTGGGGCCAGCTCCTTCCTTCTAAGACATACATACAGCTTCTCAACGGAATCTGTTAAATGCGACCTGGGGAGAATCTTTCCAGCCTTTGTGCACTGCGGCTGAGACTCCCACAGCAGCCCTTCCACTCTCCTCGCTGGGGCGGGCAGGGGGAGGCGGAGGACCCCAGTCCGGGAATTCCTCCCCTGTCCCATTGAACATGCACCTGGGCCATCGGATTTGTGATTAACTCGTCGGTTTAAGTATTCGCTCCTATCAGACCCGCTAGAAGCTTACAGTGAAATTGGCTTGTTTACTGAGAGGAAATTTTAAAGTGCTTGTGATCACCGTAACAGTTTTACCTGACTTTTCAAAAGATTAAATAATGGCTGTGATGACTCCTGGTACATAGCGAGCGTTCCATTGATGGAGGGGAAAGTTCAAACGGATCTCCAGTTGTTCCTGCCTAATTGCTGGTATTCTAAAGCCTTCTTAATCCAAATCACGCATCACAGCAGCTCTCTCTTTTAGATGTTCGGTTAATTGCACTCTGTAGTCGGGCTTAGCAGGGGCCGAACAACTGGACCAGGAGTCACTTTGTTCCAGTCAATTCCCCTTGGAATATTCGGAAACAGGGGCATCTCACTCAGGGTCCTGAGCAAGAGGCCCAAGTCCCTGCAGAGCTTGGGGAGCAATGCCAGTGGAGCCAGCCGACCAGCCGACTGGCCGGCGTTCCTCAGGCTGCGGTGTGTCACCTGCCTCGGGCCTCTTGGAGCTCTGCCCCCCTCTGTGGCAAAGGGCAGCCCCTCCTGTCCCTCTGTGGAGGCGTTCTTCCCGGGGCTCACTCGCGTGGGGCGGGGCGGTGCCCCTCTTCACGTCTGCACGTAGGTGTCCCCACCCCACAAAAGAAAGGTCTTCCCTGGTCCACCGGTCAGCGGGGCTTCCCGCCACCCCGCCGTCCCCTCGTTTCATCCGCTCTCTGTTTTGAACCCGTTTCCGTTTACGGAAGAGCAACGGGGACGGCACAGACGGTCCCTCCCGTGGGAGGCCCTGCCGTTTCCGAGCCGGGCGTGCTCTGCAATGGCCTCATCTGTTCAGGCGACGCCGTCCCAGTGTGAGTCTGTAAAGTTGGGAGGGCAGCTCCAAACGCCCCAACCTGAGCCCTGCGGGATGAGGGTCCCTGCAGGGCAGGCACAGGGGACGACGGGCTCCAGGTGGCCCGAGGGAGCGCTGGCCTGGAGAGGAAAGAGTGGGCTTTCTGGGCGGAGTCCCCTCGCCAGGCAGGCGGTTCAAAGTGGCGCTGGGTGAGCGAGCGAGGGAACGGGCGGACGAACACAGCCGGGCGGGCGCACCGCCGGAGGGAGGACGCACAGAGAGCACGTGGTGCGGCCGGCCGGACGCTGGGGCACGCCTTCCTCCAAAGCGCGGCCCTACCTGGAGCGCGCGGAAGCGCACAGACGGTCACGCCACTGGGCGGGGCTCATTGGTTACAGACGCCCGCGCCGCCCCCTGCAGCTAGGAGACCCCCTGCTGGTGTCTCGCGAGCCGAACGCCATTCCTTTCTCCTCGCGCCAGCCCTCTGCCACGTGCGCAGAGGTCACCGGCTGGCGCCAGCCCTTGCGCGTGCGCAGCTGGGGCCCCCCTCCTGCCCAGGGGCGGGCGTGCGGGTTCAGTCCTGAACACTCGGCACACCCCGGCCCTGAACCCCACGTGTCCCCCGCCCCTCCCTCACCTGCGCTCACAGTCCCTCCCCCACGCGCCGAGGGGCCCCCTGCCACCGCCCGTACTCCCCACCCCTTCGGTCCGCAACACCTGGAGCTTTAAGTGCTCCGGGACCAGCTGGAGGATTTTCCAGAGCGGCCGCTCAGACACGGACGGGCCCGGGGAGCGATCCCTCTGTAACCTGACTGTAACCGCAGACTTCCACATCGAGGTTGATAAAACGGTGTGGATTTACAAGTGTTCGGGGGGCTGTAAAATGTCTAGGATTAAAATTTCAATACCACTTGTGCCCAATAAATACGAACTCCTTAGTAACCTAAAACTCTGCTATTCTGACTCGGGCCTGAAACGCCGGCATCCTGCTTGAAGGGATGGGAATAACAGGCAGGGTTCCGCTCCTGCCCTTCACCTTGAGGGATGCCCTGTGGTCGCGGCGCATAGCAGGAGCGTGACCTCACCGGCGAGCCAGCCCGGAGAAATGACTGCGTTTGTTGAGAAAGTGATACACTCTCCAGAAGAGAAAAATGTTATACTTTCCATTAGGATTGTTTATGGAAATTGGGCTGAGTTGAACCTGTGTCGGTGTATTAACGGGTTGGACAGACAGACCCCAAGAAACAAGATCATATAATCGTTTATTGAATGACTTAATTTTTTTTTTCATAAACCAGTCTAGTCAGTCTGAACTGGCAAATTAATTTTGTCTATGGAATCTCTCACCGAAGCATATAAAATTAGCCTCTGGGAGGCCAGGAGCGGGGGTGGGGGGGGGGTGTTGGCATTGTGTTGAACTGATTCCTGGGGACTTCAGGAAATGGAGTAAGAAACTCTTCCTGCGGCCAGACCCGGGACCCTTTCCACCGAGAGCTGATCTCACGCAAAGCGCCTACTCCTCCTTTGGGAAGTCACTGTGTGTGCATTTGTGTTGCTTGTTAAAGAGTAGCACCCCCTAGTTTGACTGTGATAACCACCGGGCACAGGCTGTACGTCTTGAAGGAAAAGCTCTAGCTTTTGTTTGCTTGAAGTTACAGAGTTTATGGTTAGAGTGACAGAGACGTCATCGGTTTCACCACTCAAGACGATTTACGAGAGGGTGGTGTCTCCCCAGGCTTACCCAGCTCCTGGTGTTCCCGCCGAGTCTTTACATCCCCAGCTTCCGGTGCCAAGCTCTCCCCGACCCGGGTGAAGAACAGTGCTGTTTTCTCTCCCATGCAGGGGCGGTCTTGGGAAGCAGCCTAGCACCTGCAGCGCCCCAGGCCCCAGTGGGGGACCAGGGAGGAGCCTATGAAGTCGTCAGCGCCTCTCTTTTGAACGGAGACGTGTGGGACCCGGTGCAGAGCGCCGCTGCCGCCAAGGTTGGTGTCCTGGTTTTGCTTTTTTTTTTTACTGTTCGACAGCCGAAATTATATGATCACACTCGCTGTACTCATGTTCTCTTGTTCAAGTTTCGTCTTTATTTTAATGCTAACTCTATCCTTGTAAAGTGAAATCTTTGTTCTTGCGAAGATGAACTACAAACCAGCTTTGTGTCTGCTTCAATGAGCGGCTGGCAGTCTCTGCATCGGTTCAAAGTCACTTTCCCAGCGCACACCAGGGGCCACATCTGCAGAGACACGCTTTTGAGTTGTTCTTTCTTGAGTGCTGGGTATTCTTCTATATTCATGGCTAGACCGTCGACGTGTTGGTTTTACTGATCGGCTATTGTTAGAAGCATTTTCACGTAATTTTGAAAAAACCTGGTGATGAATTTTGATGCAGTTTCACACTTTATTTTGACTCGTGTGACTTGAGTCTTCTACAATGTAGAGGCATAATATAAAATAATTGCGATATTAATGATGAAATTAAACATCTTGATGAGTTGTATCTGCCAAGTCCACGTGACTTTCTAAAATTTCAGAACCGGTTGGAACAGTTGGGAAGTGATAAAATCTATAGAAACATGAGCTCCTCGGAGAGATCACACAGATGGTTTTGTCCTTGTGTTACGTGGAACTAGTTTAGGTTCTTTTTTATAGTAGAAAACAGGTTTTTTTTAAAGAGTAGTTGATACTGTTAACATACTCTCTAGCTTTCTGGAAAGGCTGTCATGGGCCACCTTTATGTCAGTAATAATAACCATATTCACAGCATTAATTGATTTTTGATTTTATTGTTTTAGAGAGGGTTGCGGTTGCAAGCAAGCATTCAGGAAGGTCTAGCTAAAGGGTCCGAGGGCCAAGTCTGCGCTTCTGGACTCTTTCTGTTTCGTGCACCCCATTGCGAATGGCACACACCAAGTACGGGTCGGTCAGGGGGGCACTGATGTGTCCTGGAGGAAAAGTGCGAGCTATTAGAGACCAGTCCGCCGTGCCGAAACTCAGCGAAATTAGGAAGGACTTGATAGGCCCAGAAAAGGAGAAGTGAACTATTTCTTGAAGCAGGTATCTAAAATACTTACAGGTATCAATAATAACACGAAACTGTGGAACCCCCGAAAGTTTCCCGGGCGACGGAGGCTCCCACGGGGCCGGTGTCTGTGAAGGGTGGCCGGTCTCAGCGAATGAAAGGGCACGGTGCACCTTTACGCTTGGACTTCAGAGAAATGGGACTTTTTTTTTCTGTATAAATAAGTCCCATGCAGTATTTGGGGACTGACTATACCACTAAATTCTTCATTGTTTACCTGAAATCCAAGTTTAACCGGTGTCCTGTATTTCATCTGGCATCCCCACCTGGAGGGGGCAGGTGGGGGGTCAGGGCACCAAGGTGGTGTGGTGGTCGCACGCCCCTGGAATAGACCGGTTCAGCGGTTCAGGGCGGCTCCGAACTTCCGGCCAGCCACCCGTCTTGCAGACATCACAAGGCGTGCCAGAGAGGAGGCGCCGTGTCTGCTGGCCAACCTCACAGCCTGGTCACTGCGGGTCACCAGCCCTGTCTTTGTAGAAAACTAGGAAAATCCATTATTGTTTGGTAGCTGTCCCAACTCCTCTGGGATTCTACCTCCAGGATTAGAACCTGTGGGCCGGGGGCATGGGCCTGCTGCACTATTTAAGGGAATAGGGAGCCAGGTGATTTGGGGAACGACACTTTGTCATAACAGCTCATTTCAGCATGTGGCTCACAGGAGCAGCATTATGGCGCTATACTTCCAATGCATGTGCATATGCAGTGACTGACCCCCGTGACCCCGCGTGGATGGGAAGGGCTGCCTGTGAATATCTGTTAAAACGTGTGCACACGTTTGCCATAGTCCCCCATGGGACGGGTGTGTGTACCTGCTGTGGGAATGGAGAGTCTAGCTAATGGTGTCTCTGTGAGTCCTTCTTTGTTAGCGAGCGTAGCAGGGACCATTTTTATTTTCAACTGCATTAAGAGAACGTATCCTCAGGCGCAGGAAATATACAGCAAGGAAGGTTTTCACAGCACAGCTACACCTCCCATACCTTAGAATAGAGGCGTTTAGGTTCGCAGTCTTGCTTGCCTGTGTTCCTCTTTTATGCCTCGCTCCCCTGCTGCTTTCTTTTCTGCCGTCTTTAACTGAGCACCTATTATCCGCCAGGTGCCAGGCGGACAGTCAGTGAAGGAGGCAGATCAGCTCTCTGCCCTATGCAAATGACATTCTAATGAGGGAAGCGTAAATAGAATAACTTTGCATTGTGCTAGGAAAGAAACGACAAGTTATTAAAGGCGCCCATAGGGGAGAGATATTTGCTGGGTGGCCAGGGCAGACCTTTCCCTTAGAGCCATCAGACTTTGTCAGCAGGCTTGAGAGAGCCAGGCACGGGGAGGGCAGGGAGGTCAGGGAGGGGCCCACTCTGTCTGCAGGGACACGGTCCTGGGGTGGCATCGCACAGCAGGGGCCAAGCACCGGGCCAGCTCGGTGGGTCCCATGTGACCTCACCGGAGACACGGTAGCCTGACGTGTGTCCCGAGAAGAGGACCCCCTGTAGCCCTCGATCTCGGATGGGCAAACATTCCGATCTTGTGACATGCCCACCCAATTCCTGTCATTGTTCTTTCGAGAGCTGCCACACTCAGCCTTCATAGCGGTGAGAGGCACTCCTCATGCTACAGACAGAAACTCCTCGCTCTTAAACACCGTTTGTGTCCGGGCGGCCACCCGAAGCCCAGCCCACTGCTGCTGGGAGTTCGAGCAGACGGCTTCCGGTCGGGAACGCTGGTCCCCTCTGCTGTTCCTCCAGTGAAGCCCCAACTCACCAGGTCCCGCGGAGACCTTCGGAGGTGGACTTCGCGTCACAGCATGCGGGAAGACTAGGCTTGGTGTGACAAGCACGTTCCCGGAGGCCCTGACTCACTCGCCTCCCCAGGATTCACAGTTCGGATCTGCACCCGCCCCCCAAACCAGCCCTGGACCTGCCGGCCTCCCATGGCCCGAGTTCGGGGCCGCCCCGTGACCCACACTCTGCTTTCCAGAGCAATCAGGGCTGGAGGGCAGCAGCCGGTCGGTCCCCGGGGGCTCCTCGTTCATTCACAGACACCGAGGCCAGGCCTGCGGTGCACGCGGCCCTGTTCTCGGGGCTGCAGCCCCCTCTCTGCCCTGCCGGAGCCTCCCCCCGAGACTGCCCAAGGGAAGCGTGGAGACACACGGGAAGTGTGTGAGGGGGAGGCAGTGGACAGGGTGGTCCGGAGAGGTCTCCTTGTGGAGGTCACATCGGGCTGTGACCCAGAGGAAGTGAGTGGTGAGCCAGCCGTGCTGAGATCTGGCAAAGAGCATCCAGGCAGAGGGAACAGCAAGCACAGGCTGGAACAGAGGAGAGGAAGAGGGAGTGTGCAGAGGTCTGTGGCGCCCAGAAGAGGTTTGGCTGGGGTGAGAGGGCGCTGCAGGGCTCTCAGCCCGGGAGTGGCAGTGCGTTTTCTCAGGACTCGGGCGGCTGTGCAGAGACTCCAGTGGAGGGGGGCGGGGGACGAGGAGACCCAGCGGTGGGGGCTGGTGTAACCAGCGGGGGGGGGGCAGTAAGCAGTGGTCAGGTTGAAGGGGAAGGCCATCGGACTGACCGATGGATTAGAAGCATTTTGTACCTGCTGACCCAGCAGGGGGTGGTAACCTCATAAACACCCCCAAGAGGAAGGACCCCCTTATTAGTGTGGTTTTCATGGCATCGTCAGCCTGCTGTGTACAGTGGGTCTCAGCCTGGCTGCATGTGAGAATCAGCCGGAAACGTGTGTAAATAGTGGTGTCCAGCGCACGGGCTAGAAGCGATTGATTTCATTGGTTTGGGGGAAAATCTTCCTTTCTATCAGGCGCCCGGGGGGCTCGCTGCGTGTATAACCTCGACACCGGTGGACAGTCAGGCTTCATCCGCCACTGGGGTGCTGGGCACCTGGGCTCCCCGTCCTCTGCCTCTCCCCCCCTCCCCCCCCTCCCTGCTTCTCCCTTCCCCCCTCACCTCAGACTGTAATACGTGATAGGATATTATGACCTTTGCAAATGGAGACGTAAACCGTCTTCATGGGCACTGACTGGTAACTACATTGGAAGAGCCGCCGAGTGGGGAAGGAGGTAACCTCGTGTGCCCTGTCTGTTTGCATCTGTGACACAGGGGTCAGATTATCTGCCTTCACCACCCGGCCCCCCGGGGGTCATTGTAAGAATGAGTCGAAACAATGGCTATAAAATAATTTGGCAACTGCAAGCGACTACATGCGTGTAAGGGGACATGGGAAGTTATTGAAGTGTGTCTAGAGACCGAGCTCCAGTTCACGCCCTGAGAAAAGTCCCCCCGAGACCCTGGACCTTGTCGCGGCGGGGTGGGTCGCGAGGCGGCCTCCCCCGCGCCAGCCCGGGGACGCTGCAGGAGGCATCCCGTTTCCAGCTCTCGCGCACGGGAATGAACTCATGGAAAGAGTACGTGAAATGGAAAATAAAAAAGGCAGATGGATTAGAACACGAAACCGAAGCCTCTTCGCGGGGCTGGAATATCGACTATCAAACAGCAGCGCATGAAAATGGCAGCGGGGGACTCTGCTCCGTGCATTTCCACAGGCTTTGGCTCACAGCGGGGAACACGGGCCCTGCCTGTCCCCGGATAACCATCCCGGCCCCCTCGTCCCACCCCACCCCCGCCCCGTCAGCCTTCTCCGAGGGGGGGCGCATTCCCCCGCCCCCCCCGGTAGCAGCTTCCACTCCCCACACTTTGTCACAGCTGCTCTGGGCAAGGTTGTAGGTGCGCTCCCCGCCCCGCCGCTGCCCCAGCCAGTGCCTGCCTTTCACTCCTTTCTCTTACGTGTCTTGACACTGACTCGCTCTCCCTTGAAAGTCTCACCTCCTTTGGCTCCCGAGCCCCTGCGCCCTCGACTCCCCTCATGTGTTTTTAATTCGTGTTTTCAGTCCTCCCCTTGGTTTTGTCCTTTA